CCTAAATAGCTAGAGTAGTCTTAATAGTAATAAAAAGGCTAAGATAATAGTAGTAATATAGGTAATAATAACTATAATAATAAATAAGACTATTATTAGCTAACCTATATAAAGGCCTCTTAAGTAAGTCTAAAAAGGCCTTAGAGTAAGACTAGAAGATATTTAATAAGTAGTTATAAGATAGATTAGTAGTAAGGTAGGAGGTAGATAAGTTAGCTAAATAATACTATATTAAATAGGTTATAATCTACCTTACCTATAAGCTACTATAGCTTTAATACCCTACTTAGGTAGTTTTATTCTTATTTATACCTAGGTATATTAGTTTTATTATTATATAGATATATATAAAGAAGATTAGGCTTAATACCTTTCTTTATAAATAATATATTTTTAGTTATAAGTTAAGCCTATACTATTATAAGGAAAAGCTAGAAGATATTTATTATATTTTACTAAGTTATATAGTATACTAAACTAGGCCTAAGCTACTAAAGGGGTAGCTTTAAGATAGGTAGGATATACTATTAGTATTAAACTATTTAAAGGATTTAGTAATTATTACTAAGTAGTTATACTTATAAAGTTAACTAATATATATCTAAACCTTACCTAGGTTAGTATTAAACTAAGGTTAAGTTAGGTATAATATAATAGTAATATAGGTATATAATAAGATAAGAATAGACTAGGTATATATTAGTACTAATCTAGTATAGGTATAAAAAGTAATTAACTTTTAATTTTAAAATTTAGTAAATTAGGCTATTAGCCTACTCTTACCTTAATATAGCCTAAACCTAATACTAGCCTAACTCTACCCTTTTTCCTAAGTATAAAATAGAAGATTTAAAAAATAGGTATAGCCTAGGCTAGGCCTAATATTACTTTAACTTTATTACTTTTAGTAGGCTAAAAAAAAAAAATATATAGAAAACTAAAAATAATTTTAAATAAGTATAGCCTAGGCTAGGCCTAATACTACCCCTCTCTACCTCCTCTTCCTCTTACTCCTTCTCTTCCTTCTTACCCTTCTTCTTTTTAATTAAGGTAGCTAAGTCTAAGCCTTTATCTAGCCTAGGCTTAGGTATAGTTACCCCCTAAGCCTTTAAGGTAGTTATAGTAACCTAGAGTAGGTTAGCTAAGGTATACTACTATTAGGCTAGCTAGTAAACTACTTTAACTTTAACCTAATCTAGATATATTAATATTTTAATATTAATATAAATAGCTATAGTTAAGGCTAAGTTATAATTAATAAAGGCTAATATAACTATAACCTAGGCTAGACTAGCTATATTTTAAATATAATAAGTATTACCTTTAGTATTTATATTACTAGCCTAGTTATAAGTATAATAAATAGTTATTATTAAATAACTAAACTTAATATTATTTAAGCCTAAAGCTAAGCTATTTTTAATATAAGCTAGAAGCTAATTCTAGGTAGTAATAATTATAAGCTTAATACTATTAATAAACTATTAATAAGTTAATTAAGATTAAACCTAATTAGGCTTTAAATTAGAATTAAAAAGACTTATTAATATATAAACTTTATTATTTTTTATATACTTAATATATATAGATATATTAAAATTTAAAACTAGATTAAAATAAAGGCTATCTTAATATAATATTAAGATACTTATTAGTCTATTTAAAGTAAATAATAATATTAATATTACTTATATACTTAAAGTACTAATTATAAAAGACTAATACTAGCTTACTTATAATAATAACCTAATATAAGTATTTAATAAGGTAATAAAGAGGTAAAAAGGGTAGTTAGCTAGATTAATATTAAAATAAAGGTAAATAATAAATAAGTAAAGATTATTTATATTATTAATAATAATAATAATAGTATTAAATTAATAAAGTTAAGAATAAGATAAGGCTAAGTATATATTAAAAATAAGGTAACTTACTATAATAATAGTAATAGTAATAATTAAAATTTTTATTTTTCTAAGAAATATTAGTAATATTAAGATAAGGTTAAGAGTAGTCTAGATATAGTTTAGAGAGGTATATAAAGATAAGAAGGAGGGGAGTATATAAATAAAGTAATAGTAGTAATAAGAAATTAATAAAAAAGAGAGTTAATATAGTTTAGTAACTAAAATAAAAAAGGCTTAGCCTAAGTAGGGGTAAAGGTAATAGTAAGGTATAGTATATATATTAAAAGTAAGAAAGATATATAATTATATATTATTAAAAAAGGAAAAAAAAAGTAAAAATTAAAGAATTTAAGGCTTTTTAAATATTATAATAAATAGATTAGCTAGTTAAATAATAAGCTAAAAATAATAATAATTAAATATATATAGTTATAACTTCTTTCCTACTTAGTATAATAAATATAATAAATTATATAAAGGCTAATATTAATTTAAAGGTTTTAAAAGGGTATAAAGATATAAATAAAGTAATTATAAAGTAAGAAGTAAAGATAAGTATAGAAATATATAGAAATAGGAAAGTAATAAGGCTATCTTAACTAGTCTTAATATAGGTAAGGCCTTATAAAGGGTAAGGTTCTTACCTATTTAGTATAAATAATATAGAAAATAAACTATAAAAGTTAAAAAGAAGAATAATAAGGGTAGATATTATAGCCTCTATAGCTATTACTATACTTACTTATACTTTAAAGTATCTAGGGATTAGGATTTAAAAGGGACCTTAACTATATATAGTACCTAGCCTAGGCTAAGATAAGGCTATAAGGGAAGGAGGTTAAGGGGGTTAAATAGGGGATAGGTAGGTCTATTAGCTTATTAAGTTTTATATATTTATATTTATTATTATTATCTTTTACTAAGATAAGGAGTATACTACTCTTTATTAAGAATTGCTTTAGGATTATACTAAACCTATACTAGAGCTAGGGTTTTTCCTCTAGGTACTTTAGTTTTTTCCCTATCTTATAAGCTATAGAGGTACTAGATAGACTAACTAGTCTAATTAGTATAATATAATAATAATAATAATAATATTTAAACTATAAATAAGTATATTATTATAATATATATTTATTAATATAGTTTAGACTAGATATTATTTAAGGTATTAGAATATTCTTAATATATTTATTTTTAATTATAGTATTAAATAGCTAAAGTATAAATATAATACTTTTATTATTTATTTTTAGCTAAGTTATAATAAAACTAGCTTATCTTACTTATATACTATTTAAAATAGTATTCTATATTATAACCTAACTATTAATAAAAAGGCTTTAAAGTATAACTTAAGTTAAAGGTATATTTATATTATTTATTAAGTTAAATATAATAAGGTCTTTATTATTAATTATAGTTAACTTTATACTTAAAAAATATTATAATTATTTAAAAAAGGCTTTTAAATAGTTTCTTTTATAAGTAATAGTAATTCTTATATAAATAGATATAATATTAAATAATAATAAAGATATATATTCTAGTTTAGATATTACTATATTAACTTTTAATACTATATACCTATCTTTAGGTAGTATTTCTTTATTATAATAAGTATTAATATTAATTAAGGAAAAAAGGTTATATAAAGTTTTTTCTTTTATATATAAACTATTATTACTTATATCTAGCTATAATATTTAATAAAGTACTAGTAAATATACTTAAATATATATTTAGCTATATTTTACTTAAATCCCTACCTATTTAATAAATACTATAATAATCTATTACTATTATATTTATATAATATTATATATACTTACTATATTTAATATATCTTCTTATATAATAAGAGAATATAGTTTAACTATAATTATTATTAATTAATAATATATATAAATAGTATTATATAATATCTCTTAAGAAATATTAGTATACTTAAGAGGAGTATATATAGTTTATATTCTTAATTAGCCTTTAAAGCTAAATATAATTAGTAAAGATATAATTATAATTTTAATACTTTAAATAAACTATCTTATATTCTTTACTATAAATATAGATAATTATTACCTTAATATTCTAAATATATAATAGATTTAATAATTAGCTTTATTTATAATTATATATTAATATTAAATTTAATTAAAATAAGTATATAAATATAAACTATTTATATATAATATTAAACTATTTATTTATAAAAATATTAATCTTTATAAATACCTAAGCTATTAACTCTTTAATATTATTAAACTAAACTATAAAAGCTATAATAATTAATAATACTATATTTATAATAATAATTAATATAATAAAAAGAGTTATAGATTTATAAAATATAATTCTACTAATAAATAGTATATATAGCCTTAAATTATATTCTATATTATATAAATATAGATATTAATATACTAAAAATAATTATATATACTCTTAGCGTATACCTAGTGTGTAAACCCCGATATAAGTATGTAAAATGCGTTTTGGCGATAACTCACCTATAGGCTGCCGTATGCATTGGGCTTTTTTCGACTGGCTATGTACGGGAGGGGTCGAGGGATCGGGGAGCGCACATATATGGTGGGCCTGTAGGCACAGAAACGAGTCGGCATCGCACGCTGTTCATTCCCTTCGTAGATTTATTTTATACAACTACTCTAACGCGACAGATCTAGAAAGAGAGTAAGAGAGAAATAGGAGTAGCCGGGGACAATGGAAGTGGGCGTCGCGAACTATCCCTTTTTCTGCGTCTTGGTGAGGTCAAAGATGGCCTGGGTCTGGACCGTAGGTTGTGTTACTCTGCATCAATACATGCAGGTGACTACATGACTGCGATGCCGATTGTACCATGACGATCGGCGGTGCCGGACGATGGGTAAACCTTCGGGGCTCAGGCTGCGCCGCTGCGAGGCGGATGTATTAATAAAGGGAAGGGTTGTAAATTCCGAACTCAAGTTTTCCTCATCTCCACTGCCAGACCCGACATCTTCACATTCATCACCAACGCACACAAACAGGTATGAGAAGCTACTCACAAGCAATTCCTACCTGCTAACTCCATCAAGTATCGACACAGCAACGATGGAAGTCTGGACCGAGCACAAGGAGCACTCCGTGGAAGGCCACACCCTCACGGGCACACTCAATTTCAGAGGCGAAAGAATCTGGGGCCCCAGGGGCTGCCACGACAACACGGTCAGACTGGGATCGGCCCTCCAACAGGCCGACTGGCGCTTTGCCATGACATTCGAGTCCAAGCCGCATTCAGTCGAAGGACACGTCCGCTACATCAGCGTCAAGGACTGGAGCGGGAGAGTCATCCTGGACAAACTCAGTACCCACGACAGCATGGATTCCCTGGCCAGGGTGGTCATGGAGAAAGTCAGAGAGAATGGACGCCCTTGAGGAGGTTTACGGCGGTTTTACAGGTTTTCTCAGTCTATTTGAATCAAGGACAAGGTCATTCAACTGACTCGCCTGGACAGCCTGGAGACGCTTTCAACATGCATTGTGGACTGAGACAGCTGATATTGGGGGAATGGCGTGTTACCTATCTGTTCTTAATCACACAATGCACCACTTGTGCTGGTCTTCTCTATTCCAGGCCTTTAGGTCTGTGTAGGCACAAGTCATACTGTTGAGCTATTAACACAACTCTATAACGCCTCTAGCCGTCTATAGAGAGCTGAGCTTAACGTCATTGTGGGGTTTATGACCACTTCACTGCTACGACTCGCGTCGAGTCTGAGGGTAGGGCAACACCGGCCGCATGTACGGCATTGTGTCAACCTCTGGTTGGATCGCCACTGTGGACTTGTATGTAGGCGTATGCGTAGACAGACAGCATCTTGAGGCCAGTTTTGAAGAGTGTGGTCACCCTGGTCAAGGTCGAATCCTGCAAGGTTAAGCTGTCCTGGCAAAACCGCTTCAGTCACCAACCGTGTAGGCGAAAGTAAATGACCCTCGTTACATATGTATGAAGGCCTTTCTCAGCCGAGATTTTGTCCATTCCAACTTGTTAGGATTACCTATGAGAAAGCATCACAGTGGTCAACGGACCACAGTCCAGTATCCCTGTCGTACTCAAGCGGCGGAGCGCCGCTGACTTTAGATGTGCGACATGCATCACCTAGTGCGGGGTCAAGCACGTACATTCAAGCAGTCAGCGTGCTGGATCGCGGAGACGGGACCGAGCAGCATTAGCTTGTGGAGGAGAGGAAGCTGCGCATTTCACTGTAATAGTACGTGACGGGTCGCCATCATGTGTTGAAACATTGGCCGCGAGAGAGTATTCAACCTCGGTCGGTCGTCCGATGTAGCTCTTAATAGCTTTTAGTTACTATAAATCATAAAAGTTAGTTGTTGATTAGTTTGACTAATGGCGTGTAATGTATAGGTGACCCACGGTAAATACTACACAACACTTGTGCTTGGCTGCATTTGCGAATCATGTGTGACAATCCGTTTTCCACTTGCCACTGTCAGCTTGATGGAACTCGCGTGCATCTTTTGAAAAGACATGACCGCCACCACTGAGGGTGGTGCCCAGCTGACACGCTTCTGTGTTCCCACCCACACAAGCGAGGTACATCGGACCCGTGTACCTGTCCAGCAAAAGCAAAGTACTTTTTAGCATAGCTTCATGTTGTAGTCATGTTACTGGGGTATCGCCCTTTATGCAAACAGAGGTTCCAATTTGACCTTGCAATCTTGCAATGGTCTGACATGTACCACCATCAATGCAATCGCTCACAACTCGACCCCCGAACCCGTGCAGGGATGTGATTGCGGTACCGGCGAGTACAGAACCGACATGATGCTTCAAACACATCTGTAACTAGTATCGGTTGACGTTTCAGGAGAAGCGCGCTTCGTTGCGTCGATGCCGACTTGGGTTATGTTGGGCCGCCATGAAAGCAAACAATAGAGACTCGAGATCCACCATGTGTACAGTGCCGCCATGAGCAAACGCACCGTGTATACACTGTGCCGTCACCCTGCCACGATCTTGTCCTCAACAAGTCTTTCGGGTGTGGCACGAGTAGACACGTGGTCGCTTGTATCCGGAATTAACAAAATCCGAGCCACACAACTCTTTTGAACAACTTCCCCTGCGCCTTTTCAAAACCATAAGTACTCGCACACCACCACTCCGTTACCACTATAACGCACCCAATCTTACGGCTAGCTTTACGACCTAACTCAAGATGGCTAGTTCGGATCGACCGACCCCATGCACTTCGCCAAGCGCGCCAAAGTTCGACACGACGTGTACCGCGTCCATCTCCGAGATACGACCTCGTCTCTACATTGGCAACGTGTTTGCCAGCGTGCGACCGGCCGTGCTACGGGACAACCACATCACGGCCATCATGTCCATCATCAACGCGCGCTACGGGCAGTGGTCGACGCCATGCATTCGAAACATGGTGCCCGAGGTCAACCACCTCTACATTCCGTGTCTCGACAGCACGACCATGGACCTGCTCCCCTTCCTCGGCCGCGTCTGCGACTTTATCAAGAAGCACGCGCAGGGCCCTGCCGGCGACAATGTCCTCGTGCACTGCCACGTCGGCATCTCCCGGTCGGCCTCGATGGTGATTGCCTACCTTATGCGCGAGGAGAAGCGGAGCCTCGACGACGTGCTGGCCGAGGTCAAGTCAAAGCGCAAGGTGCGGCCGAGTTCCAACTTTATGGAGCAGCTGCGTGTGTGGGACGCGGTTGGCTACCAGATCTGGCAGGATAGCAAAGAGACCATCCCAAAGGTCGAGTACCAAGCCTACCTCGATAGGAGGGCCGTCCGGTTACAGTCCCTAGGACTCACGGGTGATGAACCAATTGAACTACAAAGTCTTTAATATCGAGAGGGTATATATACTGATAGTTGATGCGGGTGTACAACTTAGGACTAGGGTGGAACCATTACAGCGTCTAAGGACATTACATAGATCATGAAAGGAATATCACCATTTACATAGAATAGAACCTTGCAGTTTTATGCTCACGCTTTCAAGTCTACGATGTAAAGGACTGGTAGGACTTGTACATTGGTAGGATTTGTAATTCGCCGCATCTCATTTTGACTCCCTTTCCCCTTGCTGCCACATCACAGACTTTGAATGGGCGTGGTTGTCCCCGAGTTGAGATTAGCTTGAGGCGACCTCGTTAGCAAACCACGTCTTTTCACAATTTTGGGGTCCTGCCGCGGCTTACTCTGCACGAACTTGTAACGCACGCCGCGGTACTCATCAGCATATCCCACCCCATACGTCGCGAGCCCTTTCAAAAAGGCCTTGATGCCCGGCATCAGCATATTGACAGTGATGCTCTCTTCGTCGAGGCTCTGCGCCCAGAGCTGGACCGTGGAATTCTGCAGGACCAGGTCCGGGGTGCTGTGCACAATCGTCGAGGCGTGGTTGTCCAGGGTGCTGTACTCCTGGCCCAGCGTGCCTTCAATCAGGTTTACGCAGTCTTCGACAGACATGATCAGTGATTTCTTCGCAAAAAGACGAGCAAGGAGGAAGTGACAGGCAATAGAGTCTTGTCCTGCGGATTTTTACAGCGCATTCTCGAGAGTGTATAATGTCCTGGTCGCGCGGGGCTTGACCAGCTCCTTGTACTGCCATTATTACTGGCACCGTGCCGTGCATGAGCAGAATATGCGAGGTGGTCAATATATTCCTTGGTGGAGGACGAGGTTACAGGGTTCTTCTCTTATCGGAGACGTCGCGGCCTATCCAGGGTGCTTCACGGTCTCAAAATATCAGCTGTTGCCAATAGCTCGAGGCGCACAAGAATACTAGACATGTGTTGACCAATAAGCAACTATATTGTCAAAGTAGGAAAACTCGGCGGGACGCACGACGTCGTCCGCCACTGCCACCAGGGTGACGAAATACACTGCTAATCCGTGAGGTGCAAGTTTTTGAGTTTATACTGCTCTATTCAATGTTATCTGCGCTATATTCTTTATCATTTTTATTTTTTATATAATCTTTATGTTTCCTATTTTATCTATGTATTTTCTTTTATTAATGTTACTAGTGAGTGTAGACATTTCACCTCGGAGCAATCGTCTTTCGATTTCTTATCTCATTCGACGCCCTTCCTCGGCGGAGGGTTTGAACCGCACTGAATATTGGAAAGGCCGCATGGGCATTTTCTGGCCATACACAGCCCCTATCTAGACTACCCCCAACGACGTCTTGGCCGACTTGTCATCTGCACAAACCTGCATGACGGAAGCAGTCCGCCGCTGGTCGTGGGGTTAAGGTACGCCACTGGCCCGACGCACATCCAAGCAGCCCAACGACAGGATGCATACTATCTTCAGCGGCTATAGCCACGGATTTATCACCGAAGCATCGGGGAAGCAGCGCCCGAGGTCGTTGGCTGAGGTGGGGGTACCATTGTGACGTCGAATGTCATCGTTGGTACAACTACCAGCAATCGAAGCATTTCGAGAATACCAACGTTTATAATCTGCTACTTTATCGTTTCAGGATCTATTAAATGGCTTCCGTGCCTAATTCTGCTGGTACGTACCCATTTGACATTGTGTCCGCTTCGTGAGAGACGGGGACTTTCACAAAATGCGGCGCCTTGTTTCATCCAGCGAGATCAATTTTCATTCCTTGGCGGTGTTGTCACCACAGGCCGAGTTTGAAGTTTCGACGTGTTTTGTGTGCTCCCACTCTGCAAGAGAGACTGAACATGGTCTTCATGCTCTTCCACAAACGGCTCCTCCAGAGACTTATAGACAGCGCCAACCCATTTCCACGCCCGATGATCCGCAATAAACCGAGCATTTCGGCTATAGGCAAGTGTTAATTTTCTAGCGACTGTAAGACGGCTGGGACCAACCACTTGAAAGTATTTATTTTCTTGTCGGCGCGTTACTTCTTCTGGGTCATCATCCGCTGCCAGTACCTGTTGTAATTTAACAGCCTCCGCTGTTAAAGCTAACTTGGAAAGGGTTTCTTGTAGATCAAAGGGTTTGTCCAATGCTAATCCGCAGAGCGCCTCAAGATGGTGAAAATCTTGGAGGCTATCCAAGCAAGCAAGCCGTAGGAAATGATTGACAATGGCGCCATTTTTCCAATCCCGTGGCAGCGGCTTCGGCCTGTTACCAGTCGCTAAGTTGCTAGTATAGCCAGAGTGGAATGCGTCTTGTAGCAGCGGATCGCTTATTATATCCCTAGCATGTGGGAGACCAGGTGTCGCATAGAGCATTGCCGGCGGTACAGTGGAAGAGAACGCCCAGTCGATAATGCAGGTGATGTTAAAGTCGTCATCTATAAATATGTTTTGGTCGCTGAGATCTGGATGGTAGAGGGGAAAGCTGGATGTGGATATCTCTTCCTTGCTCTCTCCTGCTAATAAAGGTATAATTGAATCGAGGAGAAACTGGGCAGCAATGGTGTATTGTAGGCGGTTCTGACTTGATTCAGGCTTGCCCCCAAGAACCGCGAAATCATTCCAATGATCAGTCGCAAGCCTATAATCCGACGTGTCGGTGTACTCCTGTGGGATTGGAATCGGCGCTACAAGCAAGTGGTAGCCCATTGGAAGCTGCTCGGCATGCAGCCGCAGAGCAGCCACAAGAGATGTATAAAATTCTTGCGAAGAGGAGAAGGGACCCCGTGGAATTTCTTCAATAGCATCCCGGCCCTCCAAAAGGTGCCCTGGATGAAGGCATTGCTGAATATACGGAGTTCCGTTGGCGCTCTCGAAGATTGAACCTATGCAAGGAAATCGTAGTTGCGATAGCTGTGAGGAATACCGGCCCAGCTGATATAGGATTTTCAGTTTATTTTCGCGATTCATTTTCTTTCGCTTGTGCTCTGAGGTTGACAGGGGCCGCTCTTGCCAACTGTATGCAGACAGGGCAACCCCATTTGCTTTGCTCATCAAGATGTATGGCACGCCAATTTCATTTTTATCGTCTGCGCTGAGCTCTAGTTAGCTCTAGATGCTATGAGCTTGTCTTGACATACCAGTAGTGAAAAATTTCTGGTACTGGGATCGAGGTCATTTCTCGAACCAACTTCATAGTCGCAACTTCGCTAGCCAGCACATCACTGATAAGTTGACTAGATTCGAAGGAGTTTTGGTCGGGTGATCGAAAGACCCATACTACTCCATCGTGGAAGTGCAGGAAGATAGCCCAGTTAAACGCCCCAAAGACGGGCCGCTGTGCAGTGTCACACTCGCATGGTAGACCACGCAATCGTTCCGCTAAACGAAGAAGAGCCGCAACGTTAAAGTCGGAATGCTCTTGTATATTTGGTCGTTGCTGTAAAGGCATCTTGAGGTTGGTGGTGACATGAGGCCGCACTAGCTAGTTCCGAAGGCGCACAATATATCAATCCGCGCACGTGACAGTAGAGCAGAATCTACCTCGAAAGTAGGACCTTTCGCCGTACACAGGTCCGAGTCACTACAGAACTTGGAGAAACTGGAAAGACCATCTCTTTAGTCGAGGGCAACTGGCAGGCGGGCTCGAGGCAGCAGCTCGGGGGTACTGGCAGGGCATGCTACAGCCGCTGTCAGCCCCAGAAACCTCTAGCAGCCAGCTTTCCACTACTACGGATATTTGCGCACAACAGGGCCAGGACGTTTTATAAGTGCAGTAATGGAAATCTAAGTCATAGAAACTGGAGGAAGAGTTGTTAGCCACAGTGCAAGAGTCGATATCAACTGGTCTTCCACTGGTCTGGCGGTCGTCACACGAGCTTGCGGCCAGACCTGCGACCTCCCAGATCCGAAAGGCGATATTTATCAGGTCTGTAGTGGTAGAACAGCTTCCTTCCGCCGACCGTGTAAGCAAAGGTCGGCGGACTGTATTCTGTGTATCGTGGCCTATGACTCCAAAGTACAGCGGCGGAGGATGCTGTTATCCTTGCGACAAAATAGTTCCCAGGCAGGCTGCGCTGAATAAAAGACGTGGCTATGCATTCCGCAAGAGCTTGGGATTGGCTTAAAGCCGGGGTTGATGCTTGGGCGCCTGGCGCATTTTGTTTCCCTTCATGTCTGCAAAATGTCCCAAGAGTCCGGCCTCAACAACCAAATCTCTAAACAAGCCACCCTTGTCCACCAACGCCTCTGGTGTGTCAAATTCCAGTGCTCGGCCCTGTTCCAGCACGACGATGTAATCAGAGTCCACAATCGTGTTAATTCTATGCGCAACCGTCAAGATGGTCTTGTTCTGAAATTCTTTCCCACGCAGCGTTTCCTGCACAATAGCATCAGTACGGTGGTCGACAGCCGAAGTGGCTTCATCCAGCACCAGCACACGGGCAGAACTAAGTAAAGCGCGCGCCAGACTGATGAGTTGACGTTGGCCCTGACTGAGATTTGAGCCGCGTTCGTGCAGCGTGGCGTGGATCCCGCCTTCCATGCTTTCGACATGGGCTTTCAGCTGTGCTTGCGCAAGAGCAGACCACAGCTCTTCATCTGTATGCACAGAGGCTGGATCGAGGTTATCTCGCACAGTACCGGGGAAGATGGCCGGGTCCTGAACGATGATGCTCAGTCTGGGACGAAGGTCGTTCAGACCAATACAGGTGGTGTCGACCTTGTCAATGGCGATGGCGCCCTCGGCAGGCTCGATGATGCGGAAGAGCGCAAGAGCGAGAGTTGATTTTCCTGCACCGGTACGGCCGACGATACCGACGCGAGCACCTGCGGGGATGGACAGATTGACGTCTTCCAGGACAAAGGGAAGACCGGGACGGTATCGTGTCGAGTAGTGCTGGAATTCGATGGCGCCAACCGTGGGCCAAGAGGGCAGTGGAGCAGTAGAGGGACTGCTTTCTAGAGGCGCCTCGGGGGGGATCGCTGTGTATTCAAGGACGCGTTCGACAGCGACGAGGCTGTTTTCAATCTGAGAAGAGGTTTTGACTGTGTACATGAGGGCGGTGGTGATCTCAAGTGCATAGGAGAGCGCAAGCCCGACAGCGCCAGGGTCGACTGGGTGGCCTGTAGCCATGGCAGCAACGGCAAAGGCAGCGACGCCTCCGACGATGACGCTGCCGAGAAATTCGACGCGAAGTGTGATCCATCGGTTGGAGTAAAAGGAGAGGAAATATGCCTGGAGGTTATTATCGATACGAGTCTTGGTTTCCTTTTCAAAAATGTCTTGTTTACGATAGGCGAGGATGGTGTTTACGCCACCTAGAGATTCTTGGAAGTGCGAGTAGATGGGGGATTTGGTGGAACTGTCCATACGAGAGAGCTCGCGAGATGTTCGTACGTAGTATTGTTGAAGAACGACGCAGATGTAGGCCAGGGGTCCAACGAAGATTAGGAAACAGGGCGATGCTGCTTCCGTCAGTACCGATAGTGCGAAGATGCGATTGCCTACTTACTCCAGCACACTACTGCAAGCGTGAACATAATAGACGTTAGGCAGCTTACTGCTTGCGTAAATGTCCCAATCATCTCGCCATCAATCCTTGACATGTCGCTGCCAAACCTGTTGAGAATCTGTCCCGCTGCCGTCGTCTCAAAAAAGCTCAAAGGTGCTCGGAACATGGCTGCTGCCATGTCGTCGTGCAGTTTCTTGGAGGCACTGATTCGGCAGAAAGCATTGACAACAATCGATGTGGCAGCTCCGCACAGAGCAGACGCGAGCCCGAGTGCTGTGTAAATGGCAATGAACTGGCCTGGCTGGTAGTTGCCACCGTACTTGGCATTCTTGTCAGTCCAGTATCGCATCCACAACCCACTGCCTGGAAGATGTCGATGTCAGCAGAGCGCGCAAATACTAGTCCTGGTAAATCCTTACTGAGCGCTGCTGCATGGGATAACATCATGAAACACACCCACGCCGCGAGCTGGAAATGACCACAAGCTGATATATAAGCCTTGTAGACAGCCATGGTTACCTTTCCTCTCTCTGACGTCTCTAATTTTCCCTTGGCGAGCTGCCCGGAACCGTCTTTTACGTTCGTGTCTGAAGCAGTCTCCTTTTGACTGTTGTCAGTAAGCAGAGGCGTGGCTTCCGTTGCATCGAGGACTTCATCTGTGATGAATTCTGGCATGGCGGCCGGAGTGATGGCCTGTGCAGCTTGTACCTCTGCGAGTCCCTCTTTGATATCAGCGACATCCAGGTCGTGCTTCGTGTCCACAGACAACGGTGTTGCGGGAGAAGATCGTTCAGCTTCAATTGCGATGAGCAAAGTTTCAGTTCCACTGGTTGTTCGCTCCGACTCTTGCTTCTTCAGGTACGTGTTGACCAGTTTGAAAGTTTCCGTCTCGGTGGACATGAGTTTTTGCCAAGTGCCTTGCTCGGCTATTTGTCCTTCCTGAAGGTAGTAGATAGCATCAGCACTTCTAAGCACACGGGTCGAGTTTGTTGCAAGGATACGTGCTTGATTGCGAAGAATGCCGTGTGGACCTAACACCCGTTGAATCAAGTGCTTGCCAACATGCTCGTCCACAGCAGCCAGACAATCGTCTATGATGTAGATGTCAGCTTGAGAATACACAGCTCTTGCCAGGCTTATTCGGGCCTTCTGGCCCCCACTGAGGGAAATTCCGCGTTCGCCAACTTCGGTCGCATCGCCTTCGGGTAGTGTCTTCAGGTCAGGACGCAATGCGCACGCGGTAAGAGTATGTTCGTATACCACAGAATTCCATGCAGAGCCAACCAAGATGTTCTCCTTGATCGAACCATTCATGATCCATGAAGTCTGGGGGACATAGGCGACAGTCCCGCGTAGCTTCACAGTTCCTTTTGTTTTGTGGAGCTGTCCTAGAATACCGCTGAGGAACGAGGATTTGCCAGACCCGACTGAGCCGATGATACAGCAAAACTCGGTTTGGTGACATAAGAAGTGCGGAATGCTGATGAGCTCTTTGCTCTCAGAGCTTCCAGGTGTGAAGGCGGCATCCTTGACTATAACCAGTCCACCTGATGGGGATGCAGGTTTCGCTTCAATGATGACAGCATCAGGTTGGAGCTCTTCTGCTGTGAAAATTTCCACACATCTGTGTAATGACACGGCACCTTCCGTCATGGTTGAGACTAGGTTTGGAAGTTGAGATAAAGGGGACTTGAGCATGTTGAAGACAGCAAGCGAAGTGAACACGATGTCGGTTGTGAGCGGTTTCGACTGGATGAGTACGTAGATACCAAAGCTGAGAGCGGCGATCAGGTAGCGCGGCATAGAGAAGAGAATGGTGAATGAGCCGGCCAGGATTGATTGAATTTGCATTGCCTTCAGTTCTTCGTCGTGGCGCACACAGCGCAACTTTTCCTGATAAACGGAGTCCCAAGCATACAATTTGATGGCTGCGGAACTGGTGAGCACTGCGAGGGGATTTTCAGGGTTCGTGTATCTCACCTTTCATATTATCAATAATTCCACCCATGAGTCTCGTCCGGTTGTCCTTGGCTTTCATGTATTTGACCTGGAATCGCTTGTAGAAAACGACAACGAGCCCATGGACAGGGCTTAGCACAATCATAAGCGCAACACCGCCCAACATGGCCCATCCAAGCAAACGGTATAGTAGAACTAGTGCCAAAATTATTTGCAAAGCCAGAGACCAGACCGAATGGGCCTCTGCGACCATGTCAGATACCTTTGCCACATCAACACTCATGACGTTGATGATATCGCCGGTCGACTTCGTGCTGCGAGCTTGACCAGACAACTTGATTGACTTGTGATAAAGCTTCACCTTGAGTGCTGTCGCAACATGGGTTGCGACAGTGACCGTTTGAGATATTTTCTTTTGAAAACACTAACAAAAAGTTTAGCCTTAGGCTAGAGTGAATCAGAACTACAGCGGCTCTGAATACTGACCACTGTCTTCAAGAACGACGCAAAAAACATTACGAAAGCCCAAAACGCGCCCCGGGTATACGGCTGCGGATCTCCCGTAGTTCTGGAAGCCACCCATTGGATGAGATGTTGGAGAGCGAGCGGCTGAAAAATCCAAAATATGTTGTTGAGAAACTCTGTGATGCCACAAATGGTGAGTTCGGCACCGTACGACCTGGCTAAAGTGATCCAAATCGATGGCTTTTTACCATTCTTCTCCTCCCGAACCCAAGCGGCCTCAAGTCTGTGGTAACACGTATTCGAGGTGTCGTCTGGGTGGAGAGCAAGCAAGTTCTTGACTGTGATGATGTTGCTGTATCCAAAAGTCATGAATGGCGACAGCCATGTAAACATTAAAGCTGAGAAGATATTTGCAAATTCCAAAGGGCTTCTGCCACTCTCACCTTCAAAGCACGGTTTCAGCAGCAGCTCAGCCACAACAAACTCAAGAAACAGCTCCATTGCTCCAAGCGCCCATGCTGTGCAATGGAAGATGAAAGCTGACGAGCGAGGGCCAACTGCTGGATCCAGAGCAAGCGTGATAGCTTTGAAGGTATACACGAGCACGAAAAAAAGCCAGTATGTCAAAACGACGGCGTTTTCGCACAAAGAGCAGAAGTTTTCGAGCCAATGCGCCCAGAGGATGACGAATAGGGACGTCGATACTGCGCCGAGTGACCAAAATGACACATCCTGAAGGAAATGCTCGGGCTCTCCAAGAGCCACGTTGATCGTTTGAGCGACCGTCAGTCCGAAGACTGCGACAACAGTGACCTTCGTGTCGCACTTGGTTAGCCAAATTCTCCCCAGCTTCGCGTCCACGGCCGCTGAGGAAACCAGCATACCAATTTTGCAGCAAAATGCCACTTTCCAACCAGGGCTTTACCGACAATGCCACACCTTTGGAGGTAGGTGACGGCGCCGAGGCCGCAGATAATGGCACATATTGATACGATGCCAATTGCACCGTCGACGAAGCATGGTGTCAGGTAGAAAGCATTGCCACTGAGGGGGCCCCAGCCTTCGGGCGAGACGCAAAATGATTGGCGATGCGAGGAGCTCGAGCTAGAGCCGAAGCTTGAGCTGGAGTTGCATGTGAGGCTGGACGACAGCGGAATGGGGAGGAGGCCTGGGAGGGGCGTGAACCCAGCAGTGTTATTGCCGAGCAGCACTTGCTCCATGCCGGGTTATTGTCGAAAGCGCTGGACGTGAGCGGGAACGAGGAGTGACAAGATGATGAAGTTAACCGAGTATGACTGGAAAGGATGTACCGTAAGGACTACGTATGTGCCTACACTCTTCAGAATCGGTTTGCTTTTAGCGTAGAATTTACGCCATCAATCTCTGCCTTGCCTACCCATCTGCTTGGAGGGCTGTGCAGGGATGTTTGGTGAGTCCCATCGGGTCTCTCCGAGACAGCCTGCAGCCTTAACGAATGGCTACAAAAGCAGCCAACTGGGCGTCGCGCATCCTTCAGTTGCTTCTTCAGGTGCACATGCTCTTCTATAGCCGCAAGAAAAAGACAAATAAAACAAAATCATTTTCCAACGGTATGGGAGGGACTTGCTGTCACTATAAGATGACCAGGATGTTCCACGGCACAACTACGCCGTAGTTGGCAGAACTCACTGCAGCGCTTCCCAGACACCAACCACCGCGTCTTCTCAGCCTGCCTTAATGATTATAGCTATAGTTAACAGGACCAATATTGCACTCAAGTATAGGGACTACTGTAGGGCTATGTACAAATTAAAGAGAGAGGAGAAAAGAGAAAAGAAGCGCATAGACAAATGGTGCGCCGGTGCTCACCAATGTCGGTGAATACAGCTGACCTTTGTGCCAAATATATGTCCTTCTTTGAAGCACTTATACGCAGCCTGGTCGCTTCAATTTTGGTATAATCACTTTTTTTTTTTTTAATATTGATCACGGCGACGATAGCTTGTACCATTAATGGCTGCCTGCGCACAAGAGTGGCTGTCAAAGTCACTTGGTGGTAGCTCCGGCTCCTTTGCCACACTCCTCCAATGCTACACACTCCGCGCCTCTCTACCGGTAAGCAGAGGCAATCCAACCCGAAGAAACCAATTCTGAGGAGTGTCAAAAATGAAGACGCATCATGAGCTTCTATTCGATGGTACTACGCCGGTACCGCCTAACCTGCCAAAACTACAACGCGGAATGTTGCAGTCGGAGCTGGAAGTCGAGGCTTACCTTGAGAAACCTAGCTTGGTAGCCTCTCTCTATTCTCTCTTCTGTAAGTTACTGATTTTTGAATAGCGTGACTACGATAAGGAAACAATTTGCAATTCGGACATATTTCCCCTTGCCTGGACTTGCAACTTCTCAGACCTCACTTATTAGCCTCAGCCATCCACTCTAGCCCTCGGCGAGGCATGTCCACTTCCCGCAAACTCAATATAAATCTCAGCGTTATTAGTGGCATTTATTTGTCGCTTAATGAACGCGGGCCTGCTAGTCACAGAGCAAAAATTGCCCCCAAATAATCTTGGCCTGCCACTGGGGGCTTCATACCCGTGCCGCGGACAAGTCAGTGTCTGAATGTGAGTTGCGCTTCTCGCACACGTGGCCTGAGAGGCACACCGAAAATATCACCGGAAGGTTTTGAATCAAGGTGACAGTGTTAAGGGTTGAATTAGAAACGAAACAGAGTCTTCACTTGACAAGTTCCTCACAAGGCTGCCCCATACCGTACCTCGCCGGCCCATTCAGACTCGTGAACGGCGGCCTTGCCACTACATGAGCTTGGCTGATTTTGGCTGATTTTGTCTTTGCACTTCTCGCAAACGTGGCCTGATAGGAAAACTCAAATATTTTATTGGAATATTTTATTCAGGGCGCTAAGGAAACCCTTTTCCTCACCATGGCCGCCCTCGCTACAAGAAGACGTTCCCCTGCTGCTGGCTTGCATACTTTTTTTCGGCCATCTCCTTGACTTCTCGTCATTCCCACTCCGAATACACACCACAAGGCAACTATTCCTCACACTTCCATCACCATGCTTACACGCCGCTTACTAGCCCTGGCCGCGCTCTCGACGCCCAGCGTCCACGCCAACGCCGCCGCCACAGCCAACGCGGGCGTGCGCATCCCCGCGGGCTTCGACCGCGTCCTCTTCTACGACGACTTTTCCTCGGGCAGCACGCTTGACCTCTCCAAGTGGACATACGACACTGGCACGCAGTACCCGGGCGGCCCGGCCAAATGGGGCACGGGCGAGGTCCAGACGTACACGTCGTCGCCGGACAACATCCACATCACTCCCGACCAGACGCTACGCATCGTGCCCCTCCCCGACGGCCGCGGCGGCTGGACGTCGGCGCGCATCGAGACGGTGGCCGGCTGGGACGTCGGCGCCGCCGTCGGCCAGAAGATACGCATCGAGGCGCGCATCAGGCTCGGCCCGGCCCCGCGCGGCGATCAGATGGGCATCTGGCCGGCGTTTTGGACGCTCGGCAGCGCCTACCGCGGCCACTACCAGAACTGGCCGTCCGTCGGCGAGGTCGACATTCTCGAGACGGCGCACGGCGTGAGCCGCTTGTGGCAGACGCTGCACTGCGGGCCGACCGCCAAAGGCGGGCCGTGCAATGAGCCCGGCGGCCGCTCCAAACAGGCCGACGAGCACGGCTTCAAGAACTGGAACGTGTTTGCCTGGGAGATGGACCGCCGCCGTCCCGAGGAGCGCATGACGTGGTTCGTCAATGACCAGCCGCGCTTTGTCCTCAAGCAGTCGGACATGGGCAAATACTGGGGGTCCGTGGCCAACACCAAAATGTTTCTTCTCCTCAATGTTGCTGTCGGTGGCGCCTTTCCAGATGGCATTGCCGGCTTTAGGACTCCCACCAACGAAACTATCGGTGGTCTCGACGCTGCCATGGAGGTCGACTACGTCGCCGTCTATGGAGTCTGAGGTATCAAGACTACTGCGACTGACGGAGGAAGGTGAAGGAGGGGTAGGGGTTAAATAACCAAGGAGAGAATATTGTTGTATTGGGATGGAGTTGCGAATTTTGGGGTTTCTGTCGACGGCGTTATTGGTTTGGGTTTCTAGCGACGGAGTTTTGGTTTCGGTTTCTATAGACGGCGTTATTGGTTTCTTCTTTGTATATTTTCTTCTTGCCATGTATAGCTAACACAGAGCCGGGCGCATGTATGTCACAGTGTGGATAAGGGCTCGATTTCAAGAATTATTTCCGTGTATCAACGATTCTGACTTGTTATCGTAACCATGTTTTGGGAAATCTGGGCTCACGCGCTATGGGATCATTTGGGAAATGCTGCCTGCTGCCTTGTCGCGTCGCCATCTTCTGACATAGCGATCGGGATGCTAGAATATACTGCTCAACTTGAACACACGGTAATAGTGGCGACCGGAAATATGCTGAATGCTGGTGGAAATGATGAGTTTCGGCCGCGGCCCGTTTGCATGGCGGATAGCAGGACAAGGTAGCGACGAGAGAATAGATCATGTGTCATCGAGGGACGTCGGGACCCAATCAAACTAACACGAGGTTGCAGTAAGCATGAATAAAATCTTAGTTTCGTCTTGTGTTTTGGGAGCAAGGCAAAAACTGCTGCCTGTTAGGCAAAGAGGGAGCCAAGGATTGAATCGACAATGGAAATGGAGGCGCTGTAAAGCGGAAGCGAGTGGGTCTGGGGGCTTGATGGGGCTTGTTGGGGCGGGAAGTTGCTTTATTCTATTCTATTATAGGGCTGTTGAGAGAGATGGGAACCAGAACAGCGTTGGCGTATTGAAGTTGGAAATAAATCAAGGTAAAAAGATGAAAATGAACGCAAACAAATACATGTCAGCTGATGACAGATGATAAAATCGAGTCTCGTCAACAAACCACCAATGCTTGCTGCAGTATCCCAACTGTTTACCTCTATACCCGCGTGGGGCCTGTTTCTACACAGCAACTGGACCCGTCCCCCATTTTGCGATGATCCTCTGTGTAGGTAGCAATGTTGCTAGGCTGCAGCACGTGTTAGAACTTCTCTTTTTTTATATATTCTTTTTTGATCAGCCGTGTCAGTCTACCTAGCCATGTCTGAAAACAGGCCTCGAGCTCGTCGGTGCCTGGTCACATGGACCCGCAGGAGCAAGTTTCGGCTGTCATGGCGGACCCATCGGGTCTAACTCCGACCATGTATCTCTGCACTGTCAAGCGTCGCAGAGGTACCTGCCTACCACATTGCGGCGTTACTGCATCTGCTATCGATGTCGTGGCTGGTACTTCGGGGGACTCCACCATTGCAATCAAGACCACTAAAGACGATATCATTATAGGGCTTACGTACTCCGCTACAGCATCCCGCTAATCCCTCCGCTAACTCGCACGCCTGGGAGGCCCGCGTGCCATGCCTGGGCTGCTCCTCAAAGGCTATGACAACATCGCCCCCCACCCGCACGTTTGGCTCGTCACTCGTCACTCACCACCCATCGCCTATCCGGCTTCCGACTACGCCCATCTCCTCACCTCGCCGCCACCCCCAACAATCCATCCCGCCCATCTCGACACCAACTCTCTCTCTTTCGCATGGCCTCACGCCTCGCACTTTGTCCATAGAGCGGCTCTGGCCTTCACCACACAATCACGAACCATGCCCTCGACCTGTCCGTCCGCCGGCGCGGTGACGGCCGCCCTGCTCTGGTCCCTATTCGCTCTCCCCGGCCACGCCCAGCTGCACCCTCAGCAACCCGCCGACATTCTCCTGCCACCAGGGCCCAGCCTGCCCAGCAGCCCCGAGGCGCCGCAGCCCGCCGAGCACGTCTTCAGCCTCCGACACATCTTCCACCATGGCACCAACATGCACCCGGCGCTGCACCGGAGGCGCGACGTGTCCCACGACGACGCCAATGTCTTCCTCGCCGCCGAGGACGGCTTTGCCCGCCACACCCTGCCCAAGCTCAGGGCCCGCAGCCGCGTCGATACCATAGAGCGGCTCCGTGACAGGCGGCCGTTTGTCGTCGATCCTCTAGTCACCCAGTCGCGCCGCCAGGGCATCATGGCCGCCCTGGATGCCGAGGCCTGGACCATGGACCAGGTCCTGTCCCCCGACATCACCGACAAGGAAAGCGTACTGGCCCTGGCATACATGACCGCCGACGCCTACGTCGAGGATGAGTCCAAGCCCGACTGGGAGGAAATTGGCGCTCCCTTTAACAAGTCGCTCGACTTTGGCTGGGAAAGCGACGGCCTTCGCGGTCACATTTTTGCCGACGAAAACAACTCGACTATCGTCATCGGCCTCAAGGGCACCACCGCCGCCGTCTTTGACGGTGACGGGACCACGTCCAACGACAAGACAAACGATAATTTATACTTTAGCTGCTGCTGTGCCCAGCAGGGTCAGTGGACCTGGCACCAGGTCTGCGACTGTGCCTCGGGAACCTATCAGTGCAACAACACTTGCGTCACTCAGGCTCTGTGGGAGGAGAATCGATATTACACCGCCGTGAAGGAGCTCTACCACAATGTCACCGACATATACCCCAAGTCGCAGATCTGGCTAACCGGGCACTCCCTTGGCGGCGGCATGACGTCTCTCCTTGGTCTCACTTATGGTCTTCCCGCCGTTACCTTTGAGGCCGTGCCCGACGCGCTCGCCGCATCGCGCCTCGGCCTGCCCATGCCGCCCGGCGCCCATGCCAAGACGCCTCAGGTACGCGAGTACACGGGCACCTACCACTTTGGACACACGGCCGATCCCGTCTACATGGGCAGCTGCAACGGCGCGACGGCGTCGTGCTCGTTTGCCGGCTACGCCCTCGAGACGCAGTGCCACACGGGCTACGAGTGCGTCTATGATGTCGTCGCCGATAAGGGCTGGCGCGTCGGCATCGGCACGCACAAGATTCGCAACGTCATTAGCGATGTCCTGCTCAAGTACGACGGCGTGCCCGTGTGCGCCAAGACGCCCGAGTGCCGCGACTGCGCCCAGTGGAAAATGTACGAAAGCAACGGCACCGAGACGACGACGACGCCGTCACCGCCCACGTCGACGTCGACACGCACCAGAACCCGCACCTCGACGTGCCAGACGCCCGGCTGGTGGGGCTGCCTCGACGAGACGACGACAACGGATGGCCCGACATCGCCGCCGACGACGACGACGACTACGTCGACGTGCAAGACGCCCGGCTGGTTCGGGTGCAACGACAAGACTGCCACGACGGAGCCCACCACTACAAGCTGCGAGTCCCCGGGTAGATTCTGGGGCTGCAACGATGCCACAGAGACTTCCTCTGTCGCCACGACCACGCCGACAATGATCATCACCACCCCTCCGGTGACTTCCACCCCTACCACCACGTCCACCACCGTTGTGCCGACAAGCACGCCGGCGCCTGACAAGGGCAAATGCCTCCATCGCAGCTGGCTGGGCACCTGCAAAGAGTGGGAGCACGACGAACCAGCCGTGACCCCTAGTAAGGGCCAGTGCCTTCGTCGTAGCTGGCTCGGCATCTGCCAGGAGTGGGAACATGATCCATCCGCCCGTCCCAACGAGCCCATTGAGTTGTAACCCGTCGCGAACCAATACACATATAGATATGAACAGACATGGCTGAAGATTGTCGCCATTGCTATACTGCACCATTTTGGGAAATTCTGACCTTTTTCGGCCTACTTGGATAGACGAAGATGAGCGCGTTGCAATGGTACACATTGCCGTTGACGGCGTTGGGAATACTTGGCGTGTTTTTTTTATTGGCATTACATGGCGCGTTTGAGAGAAGAAACTTGTTTGCTCTCTCTCCCCTCTCTGTACTTTTTTTTTTTCATGATTCGATAGATTCAGCGCTTTGAATATGCATTTACTTGATTCTCAATAGTGCTCTCTCATGTCGCGGTGTGATTGAGAGCTTGTCCTCTATACCTCTACTTTATATATAAAATGCTTTACTTCCATGTAAAGAATGAACAAGGCAATGCTTTATTTAGTCTCAGGGTGCAACTTGATTAGAATTACAGCGTTAACTTGGTATATACCCCATGTTGCACACCAGCCTAGACTGACGTGCAGATGTCAGGCGCGGGCAACTTAGAAACCCCCAGCATCTTGAAAACAGACAATCACCTGCTAGCAGGAGGACGTTCCCCCTCTCGCAATTTCACATCATAACAGAGGTCCATGATTGCAAGGCCACTACTTCTGCGCTGGGCCTCTGAAAATCCTCGTCTTCATTCCTGGAGTTCGGTAACGTGGGCAAATGCGTCGCTCGCAAATACTGTTAACAGCCGCAACCAAAATTCTGCGCCCTCATGCCCCAAGTGCTCCGTTTCCGTCCCAATGAGGCGTCGCTCAAGTTCAAGTTCGCGCACGGCAAAGTCCTTGGCGGCCTTCCAGGCGCCCAGTGCGAGGCTGAACTTGGAGCACGCTCGATACCTGCACACACACCGAGTTAGCAAGGGGGTGGCCAGGCGCCCCAAGTTCGGTATAGACGCAAGTACGTACGTGTTGCAAAGCCCCATTTCTTCTAGGCCTTGCTCTTTGAGAAGCGTGATGAGCTCCTGGGCGTCGTCAAGTGCCTCGCTGTCGTTCTCCGGCGAGTCCATACGGAGAATGAAGCGAGCCAATGGACAAGCATAGACTGCGAGGCGTTGGTCCAGCTGGCGCATGCGCTTCCTGCCATTTTCGATGCCTGGATCGGTGCACGCGAGGCAGGAGCATGAAAAGCGCCAACGTCGTTGGAGAAGGAAGGCTCGCTCCGGCTTCGGCCGGCAAGCATTCTCGAAGTAGCTGACGGTGATTTGTTCGCCAGGACGAATGGCACGAATCGAATGAACAGTGAGACGGCCAATGGTTGGATTGTACGACTGGTGGGCATTGGGAATGCAAGAGTGATTGATGCGGCTGGAAAGGGCAAACAGGCCGCCATGAGCGTCTTTGGGGTCCATTTCCACAAAGTTGTTGAAGAATTTAGCAAATCGCTTCACGGTCGCTTTCGAGACGTCTTGAAGCCTCTTTCCCTTGAGCACACTCCCATCTGTGTCGGTCACTACGTTGTGCTTGTACCATTCACGGACCTTGCTTCGTAGCACAGGGGTGATGTGGTAGGTGCTGTGATAGAGCTCGTCAAACGCCTTCTTCTCGGCCAGCGACAGTCGCTGCAACTCGGTGCAGAACGCATTTACACAGTCAGGCCCATGATAGGTACGGGACAAGGCAAACATGGCCGTCTCGGCCAGGATCCTGCTGCCAGCAGGTATGTCGCAGGTGGCAAACAGCCCGTTGCCCATGGCCCCGGCGGGACGGACCTCCACCGATCCAAAGCTTTGAGGAAGATCGCATGGAACAGACGCTGCGTTGTTGGCGGCAGTCGCCTTTGAGGAGGGCTCTGCTGCGTTTTGCATGGTGACTGGTATACAGGTTCGGCTGCCAAGTTGAGTACTGTTCGAGTTTCTGTCAATAGGTCGTGCACTTTCCAGGACCCTTTTGGTATAGAAAACGGTTGCCAATGAATGGTGTTGTATGCAAAGATCTTTCGAGGTCAAAGAACCTGTATATATACTACATAATGCATCTGTTCTGTTATTCCAAGGAACTTGGCTGGCGTCTCTGGCTACAGGCTGGCTGGTCAAGCGACCGGCAGGCAAGCAAGAAATGACTTGCAATCAAGGTTAATTCAAATTACCCAAGCTGTGAAAGAAAGCCTGCGAAACCAGCATTCGCATTCGACTCCCGAGTTGGCATGCCGGCCAGAGACTTTCAATTCACTGGAGCTGTGAGAAAAAGCCTGATAAACCAGCACCCTCCTTCGGCTTCCTGCCTGGCGTACCAACTTTCAATTCATTAAAGCTGTGAAAGTAGGCAATTTCCCCGAGCTGTGAAAAAAAAAACCCCACGTTGGCCTTTTACTTGGCGTGCCGCCCAAGAATGCTTCATCGTGTCAGCGCCGTGCGTACCATCGTAGCAGGAAGGGCGAGTTAAGACTTACCTGTGGAATGCTTGCCCAAACAGGCCCGGCTTGGCATGTTGGTCATGAATGGATTGACGTCGGCTCGCGGCATCTGCACTGTGGCGATGCTGCGACAGTCCTGCCACACCGTGCGACGCGCCGGTGTTCTGTGACACTCATCAGCAAAGTTACAGGGTAGGTACAGTTTTGCCTGAAATACATACGCTGATCTTGGGCTGCAGTTCAGCGAGGTTTTCGGGTGTTTTTCCTGAGGAGCTCATGTTTGTGTTTGATGGATATGGTATCGTGTTGTGTGTGTACAGGTCAACGAAACATGGACCATTTATATACCAGTACGGGATAAAGACATCATCTACGCTACCGGCATGGCACAATCCGCATCGGAGAAATATCGACGCTCCCCTGGACCCTATCTTGGCCTGGCGGATGAATCAGAATGACGATGAGGGCTCAGAGTGCACTAGTTTGCCCATCGCCCACCATCCGCGTCATCGACCTTGTCGCAGATCTGGACGATGGCGATGGCCGCCGCCGTCGAGGCGCCCCAAAAGGCCGCTCGATTTCCACACAAAGTACGCTTTTCTAGACATCGACCCTCTCCGAAAACAGACGGCATTTCCCGCCGAGCGCCGCCCATGACGTGCACCATCCCGCCCTAGCATCCTCCCAACAGCCCAACGTATAATAACGGGCGGCCCCTTCTCGCCCGGTACTTGCCCGAAATCCAAACAAAAAAACCCCAACGCAAACATGAATACAATACGCTCCTGCCGGCCGCTCGTTCGCCGCAGCACCTCCCTCGCGCAGCGGCGCTTCCTGGCCGCCGACGCGCCGACGCTGTACACGGCGACGGCGACCACGCAGGGCCCGCGCGGCGGCCAGATCCGCGGCAGCGA